GGTACCCCCCGATTTTCCGTATTTTGATGATTTTAGCCAATTTTTTTAATGAAACTGTCTGAAAATCTACAAAAGGAGTTCCATTTAACGTGCCTCCCTATATTCGGAATGTTCATTATTTTAGCTACAATTTTCACTGAAATTGTCTAAAAACTTATACTTGAAGTTCTTTCTAAACATTTAACTCCCTGGAAGAGAAATGTGTATATAGGTCCATGATATCGTATAGCCCACATACAACGGTGCCTTATCCCCCCCCCCAATATTCGATATTTTGAGGATTTTAGGGACAGTATTCAAGGGAGTTGTTTCAAATTTCGTATTTAGGATTCGTAATGGGTACTACAGCCTATGACAAAAAATTGTGTATGCAGGCCCACGTCTTCGTATAGCCTCCATATAACGGTACCTCCCAATATTCGGTATTTTGATGATTTTAGCGACATTATTCACCGGAGTCGTTTCAAATTTTGAATTTAGCGTCCGTAATGGAAACTACATTCTATGACAGAGAGTTGTCTAAACACGCCCAGGGCTTCGTAGAGGCCCAATATATCAGTAGCTCCTTATATTCGGTACTTTGAAGATTTTAGGTACAATATTCACCGAAGTTATTTGAAATTTCATATTTGAAGTTCCTTATAGGTACTACAACCTCTTCGTATAGCCTCGATATAGCGGTACCTTCCTATATTCGGTATTGGACAATTTTAGGAGCAATATTCACCGATATTGTTTGAAAATTCGTATTTGAAGTTCCTAACAGGTACTACAACCTGTGGCGGAATATTGTCTGTGCACGTATAGCCTCGATATAACACGTCTTCGTATAGCCTCCATATAACAGTACCTACCTATATTCGGTATTTTGATGATTTAATCTACATTAATCACCTGACTTTTTTTCAAAGTTTTGTATTTGAATATTGTAATGGTTTAAGTTGCCTATGCAGGTCCACGTCTTCGTATAGAACCACAGCCCACATTCGCTATTTTTAAAATTAAAGTAGAATTTTTAAAGGATTTTATTTTTTTTTGAACATTTTGAAATTCGTTCCAAATGGTGGAGGTTGTTCAAAGTTCATCACGGCCGAACATTTTTCTTGGTTTTTTATTTTTTCAAAAAAAAAAAAAAAAAAAAATAAAAAAATAAATAAATAAATAAATAAATAAAAAAAAAAACTGTAGATGTCATTTATTCTTCAAGTTTGTTTGGAGTTGTTGTGTCTGTTTACATAAGTTTTATTTGAGAATTCATCCCTTTCCTTTCAAGTTCCACCGCTTGTTGATGGAGTTATGTTGTTACTTTTTTTTGTTGTTGTCTCCAAGTACTGTCAACATAATACGACGACAAAGGCAGGCATTGGACATTTGGATATGAATGAATCATCAGATGTTGGCTACACTCGTTTGAACAATCAGTTCACTTTCTTTGCATTGTGTGCGTATGTATGTGTGTGCGTCTATATACTTTGTGGGGCCATGCTTGTAGTTGTTTTTATATGTTTGATAAATATTAAAGCTTCACTAATAATATTTGTAATTTTTTATCTTTTTTCTGGCGACATCAATAGAATAAATTCTTTTGAAAATGTGGTATCAGAGGTCTTGTAACAAATAAAATAGTATCAGTCGGTGTTGCCAACAGATGTATACCCCTAGCCATTAGTTATGAATATTCAAACTTTTGATCCTTTATGGGGGAGGTTCCGAAGTAGATGGCCAATATTGAACAATTCGTGTCTGAACTTAGACTGAAGAGTACCATTTGAAGAGAGTTGGAAGCTTAACTCCCTAGGAAATGGTTCGATCTCTATCATCTTTATAACAGATCTTGTGTTGATGGAAAAATTGAGATATACACTGGTGGCCAAAACTAAAGCAACTTAAATCGCAAAGACAATAAATGTCCTGTAACTTATACAAAAATAAACAAATCGTAATTATTTTTCCAGTTTTAAATGAGTGGTTTAATTTACTTTTAAGAAACTAAAAATAAAAATACAAAAATAATTTTGAACGAAAAATAATATGCGGAAAACTAAAATGACCCAATTTTTGCTTGGTCAAAACTAAAGCAACTTTTGATTTTTTATTTTAAAATAATAAAATTTTGGCTCGTAGTCGATAGCATAACCATTATTTTTGATAGCAGCTGCACACCTACGAAGCTTTGAATCTATAACACGCTCAATTTGATCCTTGGGTGTGCTTTCCCAGGCACCCCGAATTCTTTAGAAAATGTTGTGCTTATTTATTTCCGAATCTCTCTTGATCTTCCTATCGACGATACTCCAAAGGTTTTCTAAGGAGTTTAGGTCAGGTGATTGTGCCGGCCATAACAAAACATGAATTTTTGACTCCCGCAACCAATATTTGACAAGTTTTGATACAAGTGTGGGATCATTGTCATGCTGAAACACCCAAATCTGCCGAATATTTTACTCAGCGTAAGGGAACAACGTGATGTCTAACACATCTTTGTAAACAAACCGATCCACAACTTCCTTCATTTTATGGATAGACCCAAGTCCATAGAAAGAAAAACAGCGCCACGCCATTTTTGACCCTCCCTCATGCTTCACTGTACCTTTGCAACGCTGCGGCTTGAGTCCTTCATTTTTTTGGTCTTCTCACCGTAAAATTTTTCACGTCTGAGCCTTTAATATTAAACGTAGACTCATCCAAGAAATAATGTTTTTTTCCATTGAGCTTGATTCCACTTAATATTATCGTTTCCGAAAGCCTTTTTGATTTTTTCAGATATAAATGGTTTTTTGATGTCTTACGGGCATGCAGACCAGCTGCCACTACTCGTCTACGCATTGATCTCGTGCTTATATCCAATGATTGCTCTCTCACCAATCCTGTTGAACTCTTAAATCGTTGTTTTTTATTTCTCTCACAATTTGTGGATCAGTACGGGCTGAAGTTTTTCACGGCCTTCATCCGTTATAGACTGTTACTACTGATCCAGTTTCAAAAAACCGACTTAGTATAGAGAAATAATTATAAAATCACATAAATATTTATGAATTATTTCTCGGAAATCATTTTCTGTGATATGTTGTTTTGATAGTCACTGATAATTTGCTGTCTTATTCAGGTACTGTATTTGCTTTTAGCCATTTTTAAAATTTTTTTGGGCAGGACTTAAAAAACGAAAAGAAAAACACATACTGTTGTAAAAAACTTCTCAAAAAGGATTCATGACAAGCGAAATTGTCGAAGGAAGCAAAAAGCGATAAATATTACAATAAAACCAACTGAAATTGCAGCGGTTATATGAATGTACAACAGAGTTGCTTTTGTTTTGTCCAAGCCAAAATCGATTTAATTGACTTTACCAAACATTATTTTTCATATAAAAATGAATTTTGGTTTTATGTTTTAGGTTTTTAAAAAGTGAATAAAGTAACCAATTTAAAACAAGAAAAACTTTCTCATTTTCTTAATTTTTGAAAAAATTACAGGGCATTCATTCTCCTTGTAATTTCAGTTGCTTTAGTTTTGGCCACCAGTGTACCAAGTCTGTATGGAATCGAATGTTAATTTCGTGCTTTATGAGTTCATGGATATTCAAAATTTTGACCCTTTGTGGTGGAGGTACTAGAATGAGTTCACCGATATATCCCATCTTCACAGGAGATCTTGTGTTTGTAGAAATAATGGGATGTGTGAAATATTAAGAGAAACGGATGCTTATTTCGGATTTTATGATCTATTTGTTATTCAAAACGTTGACCCTTTGTGGGGGAGATACCAGAAGGAATGGTCCGATCTTTACCATCTTTATTACAGATCTTGTGTCGATGGAAATATTGAGATGTGCCAAGTCTGAATGGAATCAGATCTTAATTTCGTGCATTATGAGCTTCATGGATATTAAACATTTTGACCCTTTGTATGGGAGGTATCAGAAGGAGTGGGCCAATATTATCAATTTTAGCACCTGACCTAGCACTGATAGAAATATTAGGATTTGCAAAGTGGGAGCAAAATCGGATTATCCTTTCTCTTTCTGTGTAGTAAATTATATTCATTGAAAATTTTGACCTTTTGTGGGGGAGGTACCAGAAGGAATGGACCGAAATCATTAAAATCCGTGATTACAGCTTTGATTGTCCTTGAAAAATATTCTTTATAAATCCAAGATATTTCATGGTCTTTAAAAAAAAAATATCCTTAAAAGTTTTAATTATAGGTACTATAGTCCTTAAAAATATTCTCTAGAAATTAAGCGATTGCATCTACGATGGCCCTAAAAAATATTGGAGAAAAATCAAGTCTTCGATAGTTCCGTTAGTCCGATCATAGCCCCTATGGTCCTTTTTTTTTGAATTCCTCTGCAGCTTGAATGGTCATTAAAAATCCTCGCTGGACCTTAAAAATAATCTATAAGATTCCATGATTATTGCCATTATGGTCTTTCAAAAAATATCCTTAAACAATCATAATTATAGCTACGATAGTCCTTAAACATATTCTCTTAAAGTAGGTGATTGCACCCACCATTGTCCTTAAAAAATAATATTTAAAAAATATAAATATTGTCCTTAAAAAATATTTAAAATCAAGATCTCGAAAGTCCTTGAAAAAATATTTTTAAAAATCAAGGATTACAGACTCGATGGTCCTTGAAAGTTGTTCCTTAAAAATCCACCATCAGTTTGGTTGATTCTTAAAAAAATCCTTAAAAGTCCACGATTAAAGCCTCGATGGTTTTAAAAAATATATATATTCTTTAAAAATTCTGATTATAGCTTCGATTATACTTATTTTTTTTAATGTAGGATTATTACTCTGCAATATTTCTCTCTTATAATTAGTTATAACTCTTACTGACGTTCGAAAACGCAAATATTTTATTAAAACATATTTATTATATTATTTTTTTTATTAAATAAATAAATTGTATTCTCCATAGTCGCTGATAAGGCTAAACTTTATATTTCATTCTCATTCAATCCTTCTCCCCTCTCTCTTTCTCTCTTTTCCAGATCTAGTACACTGTACAAATGAACCCAATGTCTCAATACCACATCTGGCCAATTTACTTATCGAGCGCTCACAGAATACCCATTGGGTGGTGGTGTACAAGGCGCTAATAACCACACATCATCTGATGGCATATGGAAATGAGGTAAGTTTGCTGCTGTTTTTGTTGGTGTTGTTGTTGTTGTCACCATGTGGACAGGGAGGAATACGGTGGAATATAGGGTTATTGAGAATTAAAAAAATTTTTTGGACCATTGAGTTTTGGTCGACTTTTCCCCCCAATTTTTATACACGCCTAAAAGTATGCCATAATTTTAGGGACAAAAAGCGATAAAGGAGATAAACCCTCCACACTCTGAAAATTGATTTGAATGATAGAAAAAATTGTAACCAGAAAATAGTTTTCCACGTTATCCAATTTCAGTTGGATAAGACAAGAATGTCCGGATTATCAAAATTCGATGGGATAATGTAATTTTTCAATCAATCTTTGATATTACGGCCATGTGGCCGATCTCATCTTTTTAATAGGAGCCTAAAACTATGCAACGATTAAATATAATACCTACAACAAGAGGCGCAAATCCATCTCCTCTCCATACTCTGAAAATTCGAAAAGTTGTAATTGGAATCAAATGGAAATATAAAACAGCCATACAAACAAAAATAGATAAGAAAAGAATATTATTCGTTTTATCCAAATAGAATAGTATAATGTTGAAATTTTATCTATTTCATCTACATCGAAATGGATAATCGAACAAGTCGGTTTTGCCGACAGATTTATATCCCCAGCCTTGACTTATGATTATTCAAACTGTTGAATCTTTATGGGGAAGGTTCCGAAGCAGTTGGCCAATATTGACCAATTCCTTGCTGACCTAAGACTGATATAAATATTACAACGTGACAGATTTGGACTATATCGACTATTTCCTGTACTTTATATGAGATATATAAAAACAGATCTAGTGTTAGCAAAAATGTGTGTGAAATTTGGGAAGATGGATGGATTTGGGTGCTTATTTCGCTTTCTTTGAGCTTTTGTTTTTCAAAAATCTTGAACCCTGTGTGGGGGAGGTACCAGAAGAAATGTTTCGATCTCTTCCATATTTTTAACAGATCTTGTGTTGTCTGAATGGAATCGGACATTATTTTCGCGTTTTATGAGTTTGATGGACATTCAAAATGTTGAGCCTCTGTGGGAGAGGTACCAGAAGGAGTGGACCGATATATCCCATCTTCACACCAGACGCTGGCCCAATAAAAATATTGTGATGTATTCAATTTCAAGAGAACCGAATGCTTATTTTGGATTTTATGATCGTTTTGGTTATTCAAAACGTTGACCTTTTGTGGGGGAGGTACCAGAAGGAATGGTTCGATCTCTACCATCTCTGTAACAGATTTTGTGTTGATGGAAATGTTGAGATGTGCCAAGTCTGAATGGAATCGGATATTAATTTCGCGTCTTATGAGCTTAATGGATATTCAAAATTTTGACCCTTTGTGGGGGAGGTACCAGAAGGAGTGGACCGACATATTCCATCTTCACACCAGACCTTGGACTAATTAAAATATTGTAATGTGTGTAATTTGAAGAGAATGGACGGTTATTTCGGAGTTATTATCGTTTTGCTTATTCAAAACGTTGACCCTTTGTGGGGGAGGTACCAGAAGAAATGGTCCGCTCTTTACCATCTTTATAACAGATCTTATGATGATGAAAACATTGAGATTGAGATGAGAAAGTCTGAATAGGATGGGACGTTAATTTCGTTTTATGAGCTTGATGAACATTCAAAATTTTGACCCTTTGTGGGGGAGGTACCAGAAGGAGTGGACCGATATATTCCATCTTCACACCAGATCTTGTGTTAACAGAAATAATGGGATGTGTGTAATTTGAAGACAAGCAGACTCTTACAACACATTTTATAAGAGCTGTAATTATTCAAAATTTTGACCCTTTGTGGGGGAAGGTACTTGATGGAGTGGACCGTTATTGTCCATTGTTGCACCTGACGTAGCACTGACGCAAATATTAGGATTTGCAAAGTTGGGGCAAAATCGGATAATCCTTTCTCTTTCTGTGAAATAAAATATTTTCTTTGAAAATTCCGACTTTTTGTGGGGGAGGTACCAGAAGGAGTGGACCGGTATAGCCCATTTCCGAACTCGATCTAAGTTTGAGAATAATATTACGATGTACCAAGTTTGGACAAAATCAAATACTCGCCAGCAAGACGGACGGTAGATCGTCTCAAAACGTCCTGAAACGGATTTGGTCCAAAGAGACCTAGGGTTTAAAATCGTTATTTCGATGAGGCACATTTTGCCCGTATCAAATCAGATACACCCTCTCTAGACATATGACTTAGGGTATAAAATATCCGATTTATACTATATCTTCAACCGATTTCGGTTTAAATGTGCACTAAGTGGCCAAAATCAGTCCAAATGAAGTCTAGAAGTAAGTACATCAAATTAGGTGAAGATCGGGTTAGATATAACTATAGCTCCCATATATATGTTTCATACGATTTGGTCCCTCACATTCGTAATCTGCACCCCACCAGAATAATATTTGGTACCAGATATCTTACAAAACTCGGAAATACCTGCCAAACATCAAGATTGGTTCAGATTTTAATATACCTCCTATATATATCTTCAACCGATTTCGGGTTAATTGTGCACCAAATGGTCAATATCAGTTCAAATAACCTGAATTTTGCATCCACCCGAATTTAGTCTAGAAGCAAGTACTTTAAATTCGGAGAAAATCGGTTCAGATCTGTCTGTCCGTCTATCTGTTATTTACCGGAATTATTTCAAATTTCTTATTTGATGTTCGTAATGGGTGCTACAGCCTATGACAAAATCTTTTGTATGCAGGTCCACGTCTTCGTGTAGTCCCCATATGAAGGTATTTCCTGATATTCGGTATTTTGATCATTTCAGCAACAATATTCACCGGAATCGTTTCAAATTTCGTATTGAGAGAACATAATTGTTACAACCTATGGAAAAAAATTCGTTTACTTCTTCGTATAGCCCCTATATAACGGTACCTCCCGATATTCGGTATTTTCATGATTCCAGCGACATTTTTTACCGGAATTATTTAAAATTTCGTATTTGAAGTTCGTAATGGGCCTACGACAAAAATTTGAGTATACATCGTCTTCATATAGCCTCATATGAAGGTACCTTTCCATATTCGATATTTCCATGGTTTTAGCGACATAATTAACTAGAACTGTTTAAAATTTCGTATTTGAAATTCGAAATGGGTACTACGGCTTATGACAAAAAATTTCGTAAGCAGGTGCACGTCTTCGTATAGTCTTCAGTTTTCATTTAAGCGGTAGTTTCCGGCAGTTTTTTTTTTTTTTTGAAAATTTTCAAGTTCCTTCCAAATGGTGGAGGGTATTAAAATTTCGGCCGAATTTAGCTGCATTTTTACTTGTTTATTATAATCATGCACTATACGGCAATGTTATTTGATACTAGAGGTACTAAAGCCTCCGTCAAATTTGTTGAAAATCGATTCAGAATTGGGTATAGTTCCCAAATTGTGACAACTCGCAAGGCATAATACACTTTCGAATAACGTTCATAGTTGGTATTATCTACTTCACATAAATTCCAATATAAACTTTTTTGTAACGGGAGCTCTACTAAAGGCTTAGTGGTGTAGGCTATCATATAGCACCGCCCGACTTTTGACCTTTCCTCACTGATTTTTCATAAATATATTTATTTTTTTTATTAAAAAAAAATATGTTCTTCGAGCTTGAGGTCTTTATTGTTGTATTTATTTTATTTTTCAATATTTCGAAATTAATTTTTTTCTCATTTTTCTAATTTAAATTTATTTAATAATAAAAATAATAATAATAATAATATTTTAATAATTTTTTTCTGTTCAATTTCCAGCGTTTCATGCAGTATTTGGCATCATCGAATTCCACATTTAATCTAAGTAATTTTCTGGATAAGGGAGGTGTACAAGGTAACTAAGCAAAGAAAATCTAGCAAGGCTTACTTGCTCTCTCATCATGACAAAAATTTTGCTATGATTTGTTTTTCGAATATTAATAATAAAAATTTAACATTTTTAACAACATTTCATAAACATTCATTCCATAACTGAAAATTTATCATTTAACAATTTAATATCATTTTGTCCTCCCCATCCGAACCCAAACAAATTGAATAACTTTCTATTTTTTCCCATTCAAAATTAGTTTTTAAATTTTTAATTAGTGTTTTTATGTTGTTGCTGTTTTTTGTGGTAACAATTTGATGCTTTTTATGATTTTTTTCTCTCTTCTTTTTCTTTCCATTTTTTATATATAACGAAAAAAAATACTCCTGCGCTCCTCCTCTTTTACTCTCTACATACATACATTACATACTCGATATATTTGATATGGATAATCCTAAAATGAAACACAACATAAAATCGCCTTCCAATTAATAATTTATTTTGTAAAACCACGACATTCATGGCAAACATCATTCATATATGGCTTTTTGAAAAAAAAAAACTTACATTTTCAAATTCATCAAAAAAAAAAAAAAATTAACAAAAAAATTTTAAAAATTAAAAATAAAAAATGTAATAATAATTAAATAAAAAATATATATATATTTTTAATGTAACTCTATCATGCTTAACCTAAAAACAATTCTACCAATTTGTGTTCTTGTATTCCCGTGTGTAAACGCTTACTACTACTACTACTACTCCTTGTTGTACTCCACTACTACTTCTACTACCACTACTCAATCATGCTCCCCTCTCCAAACAAATAAACAAAACAATCGAACCAAACCAAATAAAAAATGCCAACTTTAAAACTGTAAAAATACGCTTTAAAACCAGATGGTGGTATGTCGGTACCCGGTGGCAGAATGGGTGAGTAACTCCATGTATTCTAGGTTATGTTGTTCTATTTTTTTAGATGCCACTGTAGAAAAAATTGCTTTTAGAAAAAACTCACTTTGGAAGGAACATTGTGGGAGAAATCTCCCCGCCTCCCCCCACTTTGTTCCTTTTCTTTGCGTAACAAATTACCAAAATTGGTTTGTGTGTGGTAGTATTTTGAAAATGCAAAAATTTGTTATGGAATTTTATTAATATTTTTGATTCATTTTCCATCTCTAGGTTATGACATGTCACCCTTTATCCGACGCTATGCCAAATATTTAAACGAGAAATCCTTGTCCTATCGTGCAATGGCTTTTGATTTTTGCAAAGTCAAAAGGGGGTAAGTCCTAGAGATTCCATAAGAAACCATAATTTCCAACTAATCTTTGCTTTTTATTCATTGCAGCAAAGAGGAGGGCTCGTTGCGCACCATGCATGCCGATAAATTATTGAAAACCTTGCCCGTGCTACAAGCCCAATTGGATGCCCTATTGGAATTCGATTGCCAGTCAAGTGATTTAACAAATGGTAAGGGGCAAACTATGTAAAATAACCTGTAAGCGATAACTATACATACAGGGCCCTACAAACCCTGGAGAAATTTTCATATTTGAGTGCCAATATCCTCGAAATAACTAAAATCAGGGGGATATATCTTTATATATATAGAGGCTACATTAAAATGTGAAAATATACGTATTTTAGCGAATTTTTCCTCGGCTTTTTTGGTTTAAGGCATGAAAGTGACATAAAATATCCTTTTAGTCAAAAACTGGCAAAAGAGGAAATATTCTACACCAAATTTCACTATAAATCTCAGAATAAACAATATATCTAGCGATGATAGTTTTTTAAGAAATCTACATTCTATATTTACTTATTTAAAGTGTAAATTTTATATGCTTACATTTTAGACTATTTTATATGCTTTTAATCTGAGTCAAAATCTCCCATAATATTTGAGATTTTGAGGAAAGTGCCAAAGGAAGAATTATTCTTCATCAAATTTCACCATGAGTCACCAAAGAAAAGAAATCTCTATTTCCATTATTTATCAAGAAAATATTCGTTTCAATTTTGTGAAAAAAATATTTTTTTGTTCAATTTGTGTTAGCAAATTTTTCTTCGACCTTCTTTTGTGTTCTTACACGAAAGTGGTATAAAATTTAATTTTAGTCAAAAACTGGCAAAAGAGGAAATAATCTACACAAAATTTCACTATAAATCTCGGAATAGACAATATATCTAGCTATGATAGTTTTTAAGAAAGTTTACTTATTTAAAGTGTAAATTATATGCTTACATTTTTCGGCTATTTTATATGCTTTTAATCTGAGTCAAAATCTCCCATAATATTTGACATTTTGAGAAAAGTGCCAAAGGAAGAATTATTCTTCATCAAATTTCACTATAAGTCACCAAAGAAAAGAAATCTCTATTTCCATTATTTATCAAGAAAATATTCGTTTCAATTTTGTGAAAAAAAAAACTAATTTTTTTCAATTTGTTTTAGCAAATTTTTCTTCGACCATCTTTTGAGTTCTTACATGAAAGTGGCATAAAATTAAAGTTAGACAAAAACTGTCAAAAGAGGAAATAATCTACACAAAATTTTACTATAAATCTCAGAATAAACAATATATCTAGCTAGGATAGTTTTTAAGAAAGTTACATTCTATATTTACTTATTTAAAGTGTAAATTATATGCTTACATTTTTTAATATTTTATATGTTTTTAATCTGAGTCAAAATCTCCCATAATATTTGACATTTTAAGGAAAGTCCCAAAGGAAGAATTATTCTTCATCAAATTTCACCATAAGTCACCAAAGAAAAGAAATCTCTATTTCTATTATTTATCAAGAAAATATTCGTTTCAATTTTGTGAAAAAAACTAATTTTTTCAATTTGTTTTAGCAAATTTTTCTTCGACCTTCTTTTGAGTTCTTACATGAAAGTGGTATACAATTTAATTTTAGACCAAAACTGTCAAAAGAGGAAATATTCTACACCAAATTTCACTATAAATCTCAGAATAAACAATATATCTAGCTATCATAGTTTTTAAGAAAGTTCCGTTCTATATTTACTTATTTAAAGTGTAAATTATATGCTTACATTTTTTGACTATTTTATAAGCTTTTAATCTGAGTCAAAATCTCCCATAATATTTGATATTTTGAGGAAAGTGCCAAAGGAAGAATTATTCTTTATCAAATTTCACCATAAGTCACCAAAGAAAAGAAATCTCTATTTCCATTATTTATCTAAAAAATATTCGTTTCAATTTTGTGAAAAAAAAACTAATTTTTTTCATTTGTTTTAGCAAATTTTTCTTCGACCCTATATAGCAGGCACATCGGTCTTTCCATTCTGCCTTCTTAATTTTCTGATTTTTTTCTTCGTATTTCATTTTATTAAAACGAATGTACTTCTCCTTTCCAGGTGTCATCAACATGTCCTTTATGCTATTATTCCGTGATCTCATTCGTCTATTCGCCTGTTACAATGATGGTATTATTAATCTATTGGAGAAATATTTCGATATGAACAAGAAACAGGCCCGCGATGCCTTGGATTTGTATAAAAAGTTTTTGGTGCGCATGGATCGTGTGGGGGAGTTCCTCAAAGTTGCTGAGGTGAGTGGGAAATAATTTTTCCAATACATTGTTTCTTTCTTATTTATATCGTTTTCCTTTATTTCAGAATGTCGGCATCGACAAGGGCGACATACCAGATTTAACAAAGGCACCCAGTTCCCTGTTGGATGCATTGGAACAACATTTGGCTGCGCTAGAGGGTCGCAAAGTTTCGGCTGCCAACACGCCCACACAGTCGGCAAGGTTTGTTGAAAGGACGGAGAGGAGATTAGAGAGGGGGATATGTATGTATTCTACACCACCAGAAGGGCGGGGAGATTAGGGTTTTTGGGGTCCTATAAAAAAAGCATCCAGGACATCCATGAAAGGACTTTTTTATTGTTAAAAAAAGTCTATATGGTATTTATCCTGACGTCCATGTTCATAATAAGACCTTTCTGGTTGTTTTCTGAAGGGCTTTTAGCCTCTAAGAAGAACTTTTGACCATCTATGGAGATGAAACTTTGGTTGACATGACATTTTATACCAAATGTACCAAGGGAAAATAGAGAAGGGAAAACAAGCAAGAGTGTTCTAAACATATTTAGGTAGGGGTTTTGATCCCCTTAAGAAAAGCTTTTTTGCCATCTATGTAAAGACCTCGTTGTATTCTTCTAGACAAAGACCTTCGGGTCTTCTGTATGGAGACCTTATTGTCTTCTGTAAGAAGATTTTCTATGAGAGGAGCATTTGAAAAATTTACCATATTTAGTAACTTATAGGTTAATAGATTTTAGTGACTTATAGGTTAATAGATTTTGCTTTTTTCTTAAAACTTTATTGTAAAATGTTGTGATTTTGTAGCCGTAAAAGGTCTCTTCTATTTTGATTTTCATATGTCTACTGTAATAATCTTTCATTTTGGTCGTCTAGTTAAGAAGAGAACTTTTAAAGAAAAGTTTTGGGTTTTAATGATGGGACCAGATAGATCTATTTTGAAAAGAAGATGACCTTTCAAACTTCTACAAGAAGACCCATCTATTAATAAACCTCCTATAGGAAGACCATTTGGTCTTCTATAAAAATACCATTTGGCTATTAGAATACCTTTTGGACAACTTTGAGAAAGATATATTGTCGCTTCCTTGGTGAAATAACCTTTTGTCTTTTATAAAATGTTATTGCCTTTTATTTCAAGGCCTCTTGATCATGTTTTTAAAAGCAGAAAGGATTTTGGGCTCCAGTTGTCTTCCATGTGACGACTCTTTAATATGTTTTCAAAATACATTACGGTATTTTATGAGACCACTTCACCTCCTTTAAAATATCCATCTATGAGTAGACCTCCTTTTTGTCTCCTATTGGAAGACCTCATGGCCTTCTATAAAAATACCATTTTCGCTTCCTTCGTAAAATATTCGTATGTCTTTTATGTAATTACTTTGCCTTGCCTTTTGTTTCAAGGCTTCTTGATCCTATTTTCTAGAACTGTTAAAAAAGAGTTTTGTCCTCTGTTCAGGGGACCTATCTGGTCTTCCATATTACTTGACAAGACCTTTCTGTATTTTTGGAGCAAAGTTTTTAAAATTCTACTGGAAAGCCCTGCAGTAGGAAGACCTTTCTGTTGTCTCCATAAGTAGAATTTTTTGACCCACATAAGAAGACCTCTTTTTCTTCTATACGTAGACGTTTGGTATCCTTTGAGAAGACGTTTTGGTATTCTCTGAGGACCCTTTCTTCTTTTATTCAATTACTTTATTTAACTTTTATTTCCAGACCTCTTGGTCATGTATTTATAAAGTTCTGAAGAAATAGTTTAGGGCTCCAGAAAAGGGTGTTTCTCTGGTCGTCTTCATGAGGACATTCTGGCCTTCTATGGGAAGGCTATTTCATATTCTATATGATGACCTTTTATGAGAAAAAATGTTTACTCCTCTCCTATAAGTAGACATTTGGTCTCCTTTGAGAAGACCTTTTGGTATTCTCTCAAGAGCCTTTCGTCTTTTATTCAATTACTTTACTTAACTTGTATTTCCAGACCTCTTGGTCATGTATTTATAAAGATCTGTCGAGAAAGAGTTTTGGGCTCCAGAAGGGGGCTTCTTTGGTCGGTCTTCATGAGGACCTTCTGCCCTTCTATGTGAAGGCTATTTCCTATTTTATACGATGATATTTTATGTGAAAAAACTTTTTTTTTTTGAGAAGAACTTTTTGTCTTCTGGAAAGAGATTGTTGGCTTTCCATTAGACGAACTTCTTGTCTTTAATGGGAAGTTCTTCAAGTCTTCTATATCAACCCATTTTGCTCTCAGTCTCCCATGGAAAGATCTTTTGATATTCTTAATTGGGGCTTCTCTGGTCGTCTTCATGAGTATATTCTGGCCTTCTGTGGGAAGGCTATTTCGTATTTTATATGATGACCCTTTATGAGAAAAATTGTTTGCTCCTCTGTAAGCAGACTTTTTGGATTTTTTGGCGAACTTTTTGCCTTCTAGTGAAACTATCTTTGGCCTTCCATTAGACGAACTCCTTGTCTTAAATGGGAAGTTCTTCAAGTCTTCTATATCAACCCATTTTGCCCTCAGTCTCCCATGGAAAGATCTTTTGATATTCTTAATTGGCCATCTTCATAAAGACATTCTGCCGTTCTATGCGGAGATCTTTTGGCTTTCTATGTTTGGACTTTTTGACATTCTATGAAACAATCTTTTGATATTTTCTGAGAAGATATTTTGCTCCTCAACTGGCAGACATTGTGCCCTTCTTTGAGAAGAACTTTTGGCCTTTGTCAAAATATCTTTGTCCTTCCTTTAGAAAAAGGGTTAGTCTTCTATGAGAAGTACTTCACATCTTTTAGATTTTCTGGGAGAAGCTTTTTTTTAAATTTTTCTGATAAGAATTTCTGATCTTTTCTGAGAAGATTTTTGAACTTTTCTCTCATTTTCTTTGAGGCTTTTTTAAGGAGAAAATTTCGATCTGCTTTGAGAAGATATTTTGGCTTCCCATTGAAGAATTTTTGGTGTGTTGCGAGAAAGCCGTTTAATGGACTATAATAAAACCTTTGGGTAGTCTATATGATCTTCGATAAAACGACGGTCCCCTATGTGAAGATATATTGGCCTTCTATGAAAAGACCCATTGATTCTTAAGTATGGGGTTTTCTAGATCATTTATAAGAAGACCATTGGTACTTAACTTTTTTAATGAATATTAGGTCTTTTGGTTTTTTAATACTCTGTTAGAATCTTCTATGAGTAAGCCCTTTGATCTTCTTAAAGAAGAACTTTTGCTCTTTTGTAGGAACGCCTGATAAGAACATGTGATCTTCTAGTATAATATATTTTGTTTTCTTTGGGAAAGTCTTAAGGTTTTCTATGAAATTAATGTTGGTCTTCTCATTTAGATCTTCTATTAGACATTTGCTGGTCCTTTGCAAAAAATATGTTTTATACTTCCATGAGAAGTCTTTTGGATCATTTATGAGAAGGTCTTTAGTTCTTCTCTTTTTCAATATGAGTATATGAGACCTTTTGGTTGTCTTCTTTTGATTTTCTATCAGTGAGCCCTTTAGTTTGCCTAGAGAAGAACCTATGGACTTCACCTACTCCTTATGAGTAAAATTTTTGTTAGACGAAATTCAGCTTTCTTTGAGAACTCCCTTCAGTTTTCTATCAAAAGGGATTTCGCTCATCTGCATTTTTTCTTCTATTTGAAGACTTTTGATTCTTTATAAAAAAATATATTGTGAACTTCCATTAGATAATTTTTGAGAATATCTTTAGTTCACCTCATTTGGTTTTCTATAAGACAACTTTTTGGTACAGCTTTAAAAAGCCTCCTCTTGTCTTCTATAAATGTGCCTTTTGGTTTGCTATAAGAGGACCATGTTTTCTTCAAAGGACTATCATACTCTTTCCAATGAAGACCTTTTAGTCCAAGTTCTCATGGTAAGAAGCTCTTCTCCTGTAATTTCTGTTCAATTAGATAAAAAATTGGCGTTCTGCTCTTTACTGTCCGGCCTTTTAAGTGAAAGTTTTCTATCAGACAACAGGGTGCTCTTATGGTCTTCATTTTTATATCCTACACCACATGGTGGTAAGGGTATTATGTCTTTGTGCATTTGTTTGTAACATGAAGAAGGAAGCGAGATAGACCCATAGTTACTTTTGAGGATATGCATAGAACCACTTTCTGAGTTGATTTATGCATGTCAGTCCGCCTGCCCGTCCGTCTGTCCATGCATTCTTGTGAACAAAATGCAGGTCGCATTTATTATATGATTGAGATGAAATTTTCCAAACAACATTTGTTTGCCCCAGTGACGAACCCTATTGAAATTGGAGATAATCGGTAAAAATTTAGATATAGCACCCATATAAATCTTCGTCCGATTTGACTTTTATTGTGCACCAAACGTGTATTACAAGCCCTAATAGTATGGAATTTTGCATATACTACCAGATTAGGCCTGAAAATAAGTATGCCAAATTTGATCGAAATCGGTTCAGATATAGCTATAGCTCCCATATATATTGTTCATCCGATTTGTTATTTTTGTCCTCCGCAGCCGTAATATGCACTCTGTAACAACAATATTTGGCGAAATATATCAAATGTAGCTCAGAAATACCTTTGCCAAATTTTATCGATATCGGTTCAGATTTGGATATAGCTCCCATATATAACTTCTTCCGATTTACCTTTTATTGTGCACCAAACGTCTAATATTTGCCCAAATGGGATGGAATTTGGCACATACGACCGAATTGAGTCTAGAAGGTAGTATGTCAAATTTGGTGAAGATATAGCTATAGCTCCCATATATATTGTTCATCCGATTTGTTATGTAGGGTATCATAAAGTCGGCCCCGCCCGACAACAGGGTGCTCTTATGGTCTTCATTTTTATATCCTACACCACATGGTGGTAAGGGTATTATGTCTTTGTGCATTTGTTTGTAACATGAAGAAGGAAGCGAGATAGACCCATAGTTACTTTTGAGGATATGCATAGAACCACTTTCTGAGTTGATTTATGCATGTCAGTCCGCCTGTCCGTCCGTCTGTCCATGTATTCTTGTGAACAAAATGCAGGTCGCATTTATTATATGATTGAGATGAAATTTTCCAAACAACATTTGTTTGCCCCAGTGACGAACCCTATTGAAATTGGAGATAATCGGTAAAAATTAAGATATAGCACTCATATAAATCTTCGTCCGATTTGACTTTTATTGTGCACCAAACGTGTATTACAAGCCCTAATAGTATGGAATTTTGCACATACTACCAGATTAGGCCTGAAAATAAGTATGCCAAATTTGATCGAAATCGGTTCAGATATAGCTATAGCTCCCATATATATTGTTCATCCGATTTGTTATTTTTGTCCTCCGCAGCCGTAATATGCACTCTGTAACAACAATATTTGGCGAAATATATCAAATGTAGCTCAGAAATACCTTTGCCAAATTTTATCGATATCGGTTCAGATTTGGATATAGCTCCCATATATAACTTCGTCCGATTTACCTTTTATTGTGCACCAAACGTCTAATATTTGCCCAAATGGGATGGAATTTGGCACATACGACCGAATTGAGTCTAGAAGCTAGTATGTCAAATTTGGTGAAGATATATCTATAGCTCCCATATATATTGTTCATCCGATTTGTTATGTAGGGTATCATAAAGTCGGCCCCGCCCGACTTTAAGACTTTCTTTACTGGTTTAAACTATATAAAATGATATTTAGTCTTCGAAAGAAAGAGTTTTTACACAATTCTTCTGACCCTCCATATTTCGTTCCCTTAGTATGTAATTTGTTTCATTAGTCTTTCGACGTTTCTGAAAGCTTTTGCTTTCAACATTTTTTCACTTTTTGGTGGTGTAGAATATCTCTCTGTAGAATTTTGTTAAACAAAAGACTGTTTTCTAACTTTATTTTGATTTTATTTTCGATTGGAAAAGGGAGACACCAAAGGAAAGGGAAAATGTTGGGTATACCACAAGGTATTATGGGTTCAAATAAATACAATTATTTTTAGGCTAATAAAAACAAATGGTTAGGACTCCAATTCCCTAAAAAATTGATTGAGGCTATGTTGACTTTTCACAGCAATGTGTAGACGAGGGCTTGCTTTCAGACCAGCCTAACAATATTTTCCATATGCTTAGAAAACGTACGCTTTTCTTTTTATTTTTCAATTAGATTTATTTTGCTTCTTTAGTCGAATTTCTTCCCAAGAATTTAATTTCTTAGCTTTTGATTTATGTTAAACTCCTTTGCACAATTTTTATTTAATTTAATTTATTTTGTATTTTCTTTTTTTTCTCCCAAAACACTCCCATAATTTCAAATATATTCTTTCTTTCCATTCCTACTTAAAATTAACTACACATATACATATACCTTTCCTACCCTCCCTTTACACTGAACACTTACTTTTCTTCTCCACTAAATTTCCCCTGCTTCTTTTCCATCCTCTTGCTTTTAATTTTCTTATTGGTTGTTATTGAATTTTGTTGCAATTTTTATTATTACTTTGATTTGAAATTATTTGCCATTGTTGTGTTAAAAAAAAAACTTAATTCCCACTTCGCTTCACTTCAATTCAAAATCAAAAGTAACAACCAAAAGAACGTTAAATCTGCTGTTTCTGCCCTATCTTCTACTAGCACTTCATTTGGTACAGCTGCAGCTTCGAGTAAATTCGATACCACCAATGGCATTGATGAGCAATTGAAGGCCCAGGCCTTGGCCGATGAGGAGGCAGCCATGAATCAGTACAAGGTAAGTTTTGAATATTGGAGATTTGCAAAATTCTAATTTGTATTTTTCGCTCTTTGTTTTCCAGTCTAAAGTCTCTTCGCCAACCAGCGGCGGTGCTGCTGCTGCTAACGCTGCATTAACAAATCCATTCTTATCGTCACCACCAGCTACCCAGGCTAGTGCACCGATAGTTGATTTGTTTGGTGCCGCCTCAGCCCAGCCAGCCAATGCTGGCTCCACCGCCGCCGCTGGTGCTACCAAAGCTTCGGATGATCTACTCCAGTTGGGCAATCCATTTGCCGATATGTTTGATGCTCCCTTGGGTGCTGGAACGGCTGGTGTTGCAACAGGTGCTAATCAAAATTCAAATAATATTTGGATGAACAATAATGGTAGTGACTTTTTTTGTTTGTTTTTGATTTTTAAGTTATTTTATGTTTGTATTTATTTTTTATCTTAAGATTTATTTATATTTTAAGTTTTTTTGTAAGAGGTACAAAGGAAAGACTTCTAAAGTTTTGCTATTTTCCTACAACCTAAAAAAGGGGTTCTATTTAGACCTTTTAAATGGTCTGTAGATAGAAGACGAATTGCAGATTATATCGAGGAAGCCTCTGTATAAAAGGGCCTCGAAATGTCTTCCATGTTCGTAAATGGAATAAGAAGACCAAGGGGTATAAATCCCTTTTTATTCCTTCTATCAATAATTCCTCTTGGATGGGGTTTTATAACCATAAAATACTTTTAAAATGCATTGATAGAAAACTTTTCAAATGATTTATTTAAAGAAGTGATGTTTTTGATTTTTAAAGTCCTTTTGATTATTTTCTATTCATTGTTTTTAAGTTACCAATCTTTAGACAATCTTTTGAAAGTCTTCTACCCGTAAAGGTCCATCTTTAAATGTCATTTCGAAAGACTTCTATATTTTCAAGTCTTTTTGATTATATTCTGCAGAAACTATATACAGAAGTACTTCTGAAGGATTTCTAATGAAAAGCTTTTTGGTATTCCTTAAATAGATCATTTCGTATTTTCGAGAATAACTTTCAAACTTCTACGGAAAGGCCATTCTATCCATTACAATTTTTTAAAGGTACCTATAATTAGATAATCTTTTGAAATTTTTCCATCCATAAAGGTCTATCTTTAAATGTAATTTCGAAAGATATTCATGCTTTGAAGACTTCTTGATTATATTCTACAGAATCTGCAAACAGAATCTACAGAGTCTACCTACAGAAGAACTTCTGAAAGATTTCCAATGAACACCTTTCGATATTCCTTCGAGAGAACATTTCATATTTTCGAGAATATCTTTCAAAATTCTATGGGAAGACCATAGAAAGGGCGTTTACTCCCTTAGTACAGAACCATTTAATCTTTTATATGATTATGTTACACCCCTTGAAATCCAAGGCTCATTGACCATCTATTAAAAAAGAACTGTGATTTTGTGTTTCAGCCAGGCGACCTAACTAATATTTTATGTGAAGACACTTTGCCCTTTTGGCTTTCTATGAGAAGATCTTTTGATCTTCCCTGAGAATTTTTTTTCTTTTCTAAAAGCAGACTATTGATCTTCTTTGAGAAGAACCTTCAGGTCTTTTCTCTCTTACATGACCATTTAATCTTCCATGTAATTATTGTAGTTTCCTTGAATTTCAAGGCCCCTTGGCCATCTATTTAAAAACTCTTGATGAAAAGTTTTGTGTTTCAGCAAGGCGACCTGATTGATATTTTATATGAAGACACTTTGACCCTATATTCGTGGGCTTTTTGGCTTTCTAAGAAATTTTTTGATCTTCCATGAGAAAATGTTTTTCTTCTCCAAAAGCAGGCCATTGGTTTTCTTTGAGAATAACCTTTAGGTCTTCTATATGAACCCATTTTGCCCTTCAGCCTCCCATGAGAAGGCCTCTATGAGATAAACTTTGGGGGATCCTTTACATCCTCTGGGAGGAGATTTTATTAAGTATCTTAAAAATGATTTTTGAACTTTTCTTAGAAGACTTTTTGATATTCTTCTTTTCTTTTCTTTGAGAACACCTTTGGAGAAGACTTTTTGGTCTTCCATGATCTTCTTTGAGTTGAACTTTTGATCTACTCTGAAGAGATCTTTGACTTTACATTATAGGAACTTTTTTTCTTGCATTTAGGCTATCAGATTTTTATACAAAGGCATTTTGCCGTTCAGTTCCCATGAGAAGACCTTTTGGTATTCTCTAAGAAAACCCTTTTGAGAGTCTTTTGATCTTCTAGGTAGAGTTTTTTCCTAAAAATATTTTTTAATATTGTCTGAGGAGGCGTTCTCCATTGCTTTTCTTTGAGAACACCTTTTGAGAAAGACTTTTGGTCTTCTATAAGAAGATGATTGGACCAGCTATGGGAAGAACTTTGGTATTTTATCTGAAGACCGTTTGACCTCCTTCTTTAAGCAGACCATTGGTCTTTTTCTTTGAAATGAATTTGAGGCACAGAGATCTTTAGCCTTTCATTAGAAGAAGTTTTTGTCTTCTATGACCAATTGGCCTTTATATGAATATATTCTGATATTCGATCTTTTAGCTTTCTATGAGAAGGCTTCATCTTCTATGATAAGAACTCTAGGTCTTCTATGACAAGGTCATTTGGTTTTATCTTCTGTAGATTGGAGGTTTTAATTTGGGTTTCAATAGAAGAAAACAGCTTTTCTAGATCACTTATAGAGTCCATTTAGCGTCTCATTTGGAAAGAAATCCCACAGACAAAGACCCACTCTTTATACATTGAATATTTGCCTTCAATGGTACCTAAGACTTGTATGTCCAGACGACTATTTACAGGGTTTTCTTTAGTTGGAAGACTTTTAATTTATTATTATTATTTACATATTTTTTTAATTATTATTTGTTATAATTATATACATAAATATTATTTCTTTATTTATTGTTGTTTTATTAAGTTATTAAGTGAATTAATTTTCTTTCCATTTTGGTGTTTATTTCTATGTCTCTTGTCTATTTCATTCCATCAATCTACCAATATTAATATTATATTATAATTATATTATATTATATTTATATTAGATTATATTATATTAATATTAGATTAGAATTATATTATATTATATTATATTATTATTCGTTATATTATTATGATTAGATTATATTATATTATATTATATTATATTATATTATATTATATTATATTATATTAATTATATTAGATTAATTATTTATATTCAATATATATTTGATATTATATTATATTATATTATTATATTGTATTATATGTGAGATTAGATTATAGTATATTATATTATATTATATTATATTATATTATTATAGTATATTATAGTATATTATATTTATAATTATATATATAGATGATATTATATTATATTAGTAGTTATTATTATATTATATTATATTATTATATTAATTATATTATATTATATTATATTATATTATATTATATATATTATATTATATTATATTATATTATATATATTATATTATATATATATATATTATATATATTATATTATTATATTATATTATATTATATTATATTATATTATATATATTATATTATATTATATTATATTATTATTATATTATATTTATATTATATTATATTATATTATATTATATTATATTATATTATATTATATTATTTATATTATATTATATTATATTATATTATATTATATATATTATATTATATTATATTGAATTATATTATATTTATTATATTATATATATTATTATATTATATATTATATTATTATATATTATATTATATTATATTATATTATATTATATTATATTATATTATATTATATTATATTATATTATTATATTAATTATATATTATATTATATTTATATTATATTATATTAATTATATTATATTATATATATTATATTATTATATTATATTATATTTATTATATTATATTATATTATATTATATTATATTATATTATATTATATTTATTATATATATATATATATATTATATTATATTATTTATATTATATTAATTATATTATATTATATTATTATATTATATTATATTATATATATTTATTATATTATATTATATTATATATATTATTTATATGATATTATATTATATTATATTATATTATATTATATTATATTATATTATATTATATTATATTATATTATATTATTATATTATATTATATTATTATATATATTATAGATATTATATTATATTATATTATTATATTATATATATTAATTTATATATATATATTATATTATATTCTATTTATTATTATTTATATTATATTATATTATATATATTATATTATATTATATTATATTATATTATATATATTATATTATATATTATATTATATTATATTATATTATTTATATTATATTATTATTATTTTTATATTTTTTATTATATATATATTATTTATTTATATTATATTATATATATTATATATTATATATATATTATATTATATTATATTATATTATATTATATTATATTATATTATATCTATATTAATTATTATATATATATTAATATTTATATTATATTATATTATATTTATTATATTATATATATTATAATATATTATATTATATTATATTATATTATATTATATATAATTATTATATTATATTACATTACATTATATTATATTTTCCCATTATTTAAATACTAATTCGTAATACTTTCCCAATACTAAACGATTTTTCGATTCACATTCTTCCAGGTTTCAATGGATCTCAGTACCTTCGGTGCTGCCAATGCATTTGTTTCGGACAGCAATTTCTCATCGGTATTTGGTAATACTGAGCCAGCCGGTAAGTTTGATGTTTCTTCTATTTTCGTTAGCCAAAAAATTAAAAAAACAAGACTCTGCATTTGTTTGCTTTCCTCTAGTTCCTTTGTTATTTATTATTCTTTCATTTTGTTATGAATTAAAAAAAAATAACGCATTTATTAAAGTTCTTGTTCGTTACAAAGAAATTTAAAAACTAACCCCCCCCTCGCCCCACTAAACTAACTTGAATAGCATTTGTTAACAGATTTATTTCAACACAATTTAAACTACTATAACTAACCCCCCAATAAAAACAGAGTTCTGAAAATGTTGTATATATTAAACAAAAGTAATAATGATATTTAATTACACTTTATACTACTCTATCTATATAAATACTTTATTTACAAATGTTTATAACTGTAAAACCAACTAATCAATCGGTTCAATAGCATTATTCTCAAAACAAACTCTTACAGTCAACTGTCTTCTACTACTTTTTCATCATCGCTAATCACAATATGTCTATGGCATAATTTTATTTTCATGGGAGCTTTTGTGTTTTGATTTGTAATTAATATTTTTTTTCCTTGGTCTTTTATTTTTTAATTAATTAAATACTTTTATTTTGAAAAATATTTGTAACAAAAAATCATGAAATATTAGTTTGTTATTCTCCACCCCTTCTTCCCGTGATTTTTTTTTGAGTGTATTTTTTCCATGTAGGATTTTAGTTGACTTGTTTGTTTTTTGTTATTTTCTTTTTGCATTTTGTTTTTGAATTGAAACAAAAGCGAAAAAGAAAATCCAAAAAAATGTGTCATTTAAAACCAACCCCCCTCTACCTAATTTTGTTTTTTAAAAGATACCTCCCCCAATTTTACTTTCTTTTAATTTAGCAACTGGAGCAGCATTAGCAAATCCTTTTTTTGATTCAATGGAACCCCAAAATTTATTCAATGAGCCAAACACAACTTCGAATCCATCATCTCTGTTGTTAGCCTCCTCATCGATAACAGCATCGTCGTCGTCGACGTCATCATTGGCCAACAATTTCAATTCCAATCCGTTGCAACCAACAAATCAAACAAATTTCTTTATGGCAGCTGGAGCTACTCCGCCAACGCCAGCGGTGATGGCGGCGAATTCAGCCCAGCCCATCACCACCACCTTCATTGCCACCAGGTGATCTATGAGAAAATTTGTGTGTACTAAACAATATTTTGTTTTTTTTTTGTCTTCTCGTCACATATCAATCACAAGCTCTTCTCCTACTCCTCCGCCTGTTCCTGCAAGCTTTTCATAAAGGACGTACTCGAAAATCAGTAGTGCCAAGAAATTTGTCCTTCACATCTTTCACTGTTTTAATGTAATTCTCGTCGCTCTTCTCTCTCCCTAGGGAGAGAATGTTGTTTTTGTTTTGTTTTTTTTGCCAAAGTAGATTTTTATGTTTTTTTTTTTTTTCAAGGCTTTTCCTTACGAAGAGTACGTGCTGCTTACATGGCCTAAAATGTCCTTAGTCGTTAGTTTATATTTTTGTTGGTTATTCGTCATATGATCTGATCTCTTGATGTACAACATAATTGTCCTTTTCGATGTCCATCTTAGTCATAATTGTAATTTTATTTATTTTTTAAATAGTTTTTTTATGTTTTGCTGCTTCCAATAGCCTTCTTTTTCTTCAAATCCGATTTGTTTTTTTTTGGTGTCACCTTTGTTTGTTTTTTTTAGCTTACTCCTTCTAAACGTTATTGTCCCGTTTTTAGGGCACATTATTTTTTTCTACTTTGTGTTAGAATATGTTTTTTCATAATTTCTTCATTTGCTTAAAGTTATTTTGAAAAAAAAAAAAAAAATGTTAATTCAAGATAATTTATTTGATTGTGAGCGCGCGTGTTGCCTTCATATTATGTCTGTGTCGCAATAAAATAGGGGTTTTATAAATAAAACAGGATTTCTATAACGGGTAAAATTAAAATAGAAAAAAATTTTATATTAAGGTTATTCTAAAAAAAAATTATTTAGGTAGGGTTTTTTTTAAAGAAGGAGAATATTTTCCCAAATTAATTAACAATTTTTACCCATTTTTCACAAACTTTTCACCATAAGAGACTCTTTATTTTTATTTTCAAATGTATTAGTCATTATATCTATTAATTTATTCCAAAATTTATGATTGTAAGGGAGTATAACAGTGGTAACAGTTTGCCAAACTGTTATACACTTCAAAATGACCTAAAATACTAGCTTTGTCAATAGCACTCATGTTTTTAAATAATTTTCTTCATCTTTTCAATCATGGAAAAAACTGTTATACTACATAAAATTTTATGTTTTATAGGTTTATATAATAATTGTATTTATGATTTTGTAGTGTTTTAATTATAGTCATTTGATAATATTTATTTTATATCCGATTTATTTGGCTGTGAAATACTGTTTTGCTCTCATTAAACTGTTTATACAGATTCAAAAATCCAAATTTCGGGATAATATTTCATTATCCAATATATGGAAGAAAATTTCATTATATTTATATATTAAGATATAATTACGATTTTTAAGAGATATAATAGTGTATAACAGTTTTGCCAAACTGTTATACACTTCAAAATGACCTAAATACTAGCTTTTGTCAATAGCACTCATTTTTCAACAATGTTCTTCATCTTTTGCAATCATGAAACTGTTATACTACATAAAATTTATTTTTATAGGTTTAATAGAATAATTGTATTTATGATTTTTGTAATTGTTTTAATTATTGGTCATTAAATAATATTTATTTTCATAACCGATTTATATGGCAGTAAATACTGTTTTGCTCTCA